TAGATCTTGGGTGTAAATTATGTGTTTTCATTGTTCAATATACTAGACTTTGCACAACACTACGCTCAATTCTGTTTATAATTCGTGACTTTGATGAAATTCTCCTCTTTATTGACTCTACTGTCTATACCCCGATTCTGACTTGAACAACAATTTGACCTTTATCCTACTTGTTCTCTTCCAGACTTAGCCTCTTACCCGATTGATCAAATTTTCAACCCCCAATGTACCTTTGTTAAAGCCCCCAACATCCTCACCACCAAAATCACTATCTCCGTACAGGATCTACAGTTCTGTCCTATCTACAAGGCTTATCGTAAGGAATTACCACTCTTGGTCATGCATGCATCATGCCATGCCGGCACTAAGCCCACATGAACTCAATCTTGCCTGCTTCGCCGCATCACCGCCTTAGTCGCGGTATTCCCCGGTTTGCTTAATCGAGACCAGGATTTTTTTTTTTTTTTTTAAAAAAAAAATCATTTACCACCTTCCTAGCTAGGCAGTCCTCGGATGTTTCACCAAGTTGGAAGAATGACATGCGAAAATCATGCAAAGGTTCCATGGAGAGTGGCCAAGAAATTCGTGGTCAAAACGCGGTTTTGGTAAGTGGGATAAATATCGTTCTTCATGTGATTATTACAAATACTCGGTTTATGGAGATAGTACGCGTTCAGGAGTGGCACAGACAATTTGCATTGCGCCTTGATCTGCTGATGTTGGGTTTTATCTTTTTTATCCAGATCCACTGTGGGGAGAAGTGCCGAGGTCTATCACCACATTAGGAAAGCGGAAAAATTCCTAGAATGGGCTATCCTAGCAAAAGCGTTGTCAGAGAAATAGAGATTGATAAGCATGACGGTTGTATCTCGGCCTATCTTCCCTTCAATTAGGTATGTTGTTCAGCTTGTAAGTCGAGGACCTTCATCAATGCTTCCTACCAGCAATGGATACTGCCAAAGACACAGCCGATGATAACCCTCTCGCCGAAAGCAGTTTTTCGGTCGATGATGCATCGCCAAAGCCAATCCCAAATGGCGGGTTGCTCGCGTGGCTGCAAGTCGCGGGCTCGTTTTGCCTCTACTTTTGTACTTGGGGTAGGTGATATCACCAATACACACCAGGCGGATACTGACAAATTGCAGGGCTGATCGCAAGCTTTGGAAGCTTTCAAACCATCTATGAGCGTGATCAACTGTCAAATCACACACCGTTTCAGATTTCAGTCATCGGCTCTCTGCAGACATTTTTAATGGTATTCTCAGGCTCCATAGTTGGCCCGATCTATGATTCCGGTTACTTTCGACACCTTCTGGCTGTCGGATCTACCTTCATCGTCATCGGAACTGTACTTCAAAGCCTGAGTCAGAAGTACTGGCAGTATCTTCTCACTCAAGGTCTCATGATTGGCATTGGCGCCGGCTGCCTATCGATCCTGAGTGTTGCTATTACTTCACTTTGGTTCACTACAAAGCTGCCCTTGGTCAATGGACTTGCAGCTTGCGGAAGTGGACTTGGAGGGTAAGTCCAGAACAGTCATCCTAGTTGGTCTCTCTTTTGACGCGATGCCAGTGTTCTTCTCCCGATTATGATACGTGAGCTCAATGAGCAGACAGGCTTGCCCTGGGCGACGCGAGCTATGGCCTTGCTCCTGTTGGTCCTACTCCTGTTTTCCAACCTCGTGCTTCGACCAGGGCCGAACCCCAGCGGACCAGCTCAGCGAAGGCAACTTTTGGACAAGACAGCTTTTACAGACTGGCCGTATGTTCTGTTCGTGGCTGGGTGTTTCTCTGTCTTCTTAGGCATGTACACGCCGTTCGTTTACGTCCAAAGCTACGCTCTAGACAACAAAATCGCGTCGACCGACCTTGCAGGGAATCTGCCTGCAATTCTGAACAGCAGTTCGATCTTTGGCCGCATCCTACCAGCTTTTCTCGCACAAACTCTTGGACCTATGAACACTATCATCAGTGCGGCAGTCTTACTTGCCACGACAAGTCTGTGTCTCATCTCAGCAACTACAACTCCACGATTGCTTGTTACCGTCATCAGCCAGGGCTTTTTCACGGGTTCCTTCTTCGCGCTGCAGCCGACCATTTTTGTCAGGCTGACTAGTGATCCTCGAAGAATCGGAACCAGATTTGGTATGGCGTTCTCGGTCATGTCCGTTGCGCTGTTATTCGGTCCGCCTGTAGGAGGGGCCTTGCGAAGGAGCATGGGCTATACAGCAGCTTGGGTTTGGGCTGGGTTGACTGTTTTCGTCGGAGGCATGTTAATTCTGTGCAGTAGATTACTGAAGGATAAGAAGTCTTTGATAGTCTGATCTGTGGACTGGAAGCCTATTCATAGACTTTGTACGGACAAGCCGCCCGAGGCAAGGTGAATGAAATAAAAGACCATTGCGAATACAATTTATCGGGCAAGTTATAATCTTTACAACCCTATGCATGCCACTGAGTTATGAATGCATAGTCTTGATAATCTTGGAATCTACTTAGAATACCCGGGATCCTCCAAACCAGGTCTCCTTCACCTCAGCTTTCAGCAGCGTCTTAGGATCCCATTCCATGTCAACAACAATAAAGTCAGCCAGTTTTCCAGGCGCCAAGCTTCCAACACGATCTTCAGCAAACACGCTTCTAGCTGCACCTTCTGTAGCCGCGACAAACGTCTCGCAAAGCCCTAAGCTAAAGTGCTCGTGTACTATCTTGGGGTTCTCGGGGTTCTTGGAGGACTGTCTGTTGATAGCGACATGGAAATTATGCATAGGCGACCATGGTGATGTAGGGCTATCAGTGCCAATCGCCATCAAGGCACCTGCATCAGCAAACTCTCGATACGCAAACGCTCTCTCATATCGCTCATCTCCAATGAGTTCAGGCCACATTGTCAACGCCGTTGGGTCAGCATGAATCGGTTGTATGGAGGCTGTCAAACCAAGCTTTCCAAGCCTCTTGGCGTCTTCTGGGGAAACAAGCTCCAAGTGCTCAATTCTATGCCTTCGGCCTGGCGTAGCGTGTTTCTCAATAGCATTTATGGCCATTCTCACGGCACCGTCGCCAATAGCATGTAAGGCAACTTGCAAGCCACCAGCATCAGCTTCTTTGACAACGGGTTCGAGGAACTCAGGCTCCCATATTGGCGGCGGGCATCCTGCAGTGGTATACGGCTCAGAGAGGTAGGCAGTGCATGCGTCAACGATTCCGTCAGTGATAACTTTGATTCCGACAAGTCGAAGATCAGGACTTGTTATCGAGTTGTACAACTTACTCAGCTCAATGGCTCGCTGCACTTGTTTCGAAATTTGTTCAAGGTTGGCGGTTGGCTTGATGAGCCAGTGAGCTGCTATTCTTAGTGAAAGGTTGGGTTCTGTTTCTTTGAGTGTTACGAGAGCGTCCCATGCTTCTTCGTCCATGGCCATTTCGACTGCCCCAGTGTAGCCAGCTGCGTTGTACTCTTTTACGGCGGCGCGGATCGCCTCTATTCTTTCATGCTTGGGAGATGACTTTGCTTGAAATGGCCAAACTGCATGATGCTGTTAGTCTGTCAGTCTAAAACAATCATACTAAGGTGCACTCACTGATGGACATCATGGCGCCTTCATCTAAAAGACCAGATGGCTTTCCATCTGCATCACGATAAATCTTGCCGCCGGCTGGATCTGGCATCTTATCAACCTCAAGCTCCTTCAGAGCCGCGGTATTGCACCAGCAAGAGTGTAAAGAGCCCGCGTCAACAAAGATAGGCCGAGGATCGAGATCATCCAGCATAGCAGCCGTAACTCCGCCAGGCGTCATGTAATGCCTCCATCCTTTACACAGAATAGTCGGTGTATCTGGGTTTTCAGAAGCATATTTTCGAATACATGATCGGATGTCTTCGAGTGAAGTACATCGTGACAGATCAAGCTTTCGAAGGGATTGGCCGAGTAGGAGGAGATGCATATGGCCATCAATGAAGCTGGGGAGGACGACGCGCTGATCAAGGTCACGGATGTACACATCTGAACCTATGGTATGGGAAATCTCATTACGAGACCCGACTGCGACTATCTTGTCGTCTTGGATGAGCATGCAGTCTGAGAAATGGGCGTTTCCGTTGAGGCCAGTCTCTGTCTTGGACAGGATGCGACCGTTGACGAATAATGTTTTGGCCATTGTCTTGGGGAGTTGGCGACTACTAATGCAATTTTAGGAGAGTTATGAGCTTGTGGGATCAAAAGAAGAAGAAAATGCTTGAAAACGTTGCGATGTTTGAGGTAGAGTCGGATTATTAGTGTCGTCTGATCTCCTCTACCCCAATTGAATTCCGAGCTTCCTTCCCAGTGTGCAACCCCAATAGCCCATAATAAAGTCTTTGGTTTGGGAGTTTGCCCAATTAGCATTCTCAGAGAGATAAAGCACTGACTCGTTTCTTAGTTCCCCACTCAGGTCCAGAAACGAATCCCCAGTTTCCCTATTTCCGAGCGTGTCTGATGTTGATACTGACCTAAAGCCCTACGGCAGCAAGCACGCACTAAATATCTCGCCCTTCATACCACATCGCTAAACACTGGATCGGAAAGCAATGGCTTAAGAGCCCAGCTCGGTCGTTCTATAACCCGCTCAAACTGGAAATTGGCTGACCACTCACCGCGCCTGGCAATTGACGATGTGATTGGAAAATCCTTATCGCGTGGAGCTCTCGCACGATGACGCTCTTCCCCACGGGGCTATCGGTCCAAGGGCTTGGATACCCAGTACGTACTTGCCTTGTCGACGATATAATAAGCATCATCCTCCCCAGGTCAGTTGACTTCTTCCACCTTCTTCCCACCAATGACTTGACCTGCTAGCTTTTGCGTTCGTTCACTATAAGTCATCCCAAGATCTCAAAGAACTCCTACGTTATCGGTTATTAGAAGCGTTGCGAGGTTCAGGGTGATATATCTGAAATCAATTTGTACTCAACTACTTATACAAGACAGCAAGGAAAAAAGGTAATAAGAGAGAGTGACAAGATTAACCGCCCTTTCCAAATGCAGGATAAGAAGGTGTACTAGAATCACAAGCAAATCTAACAAAGTATTTGCTTGATGATCCAGAGCCATTGACGATGACAGTACCATCCGGAGCTGTGACAGTAACTATCATGGAATAGTCTCCCTGAGCATTAGCCCAGAAAACCCGGAACGGCGTATAAGTGCCCGCTGTCAGCTGTATATTGAAAGTCTTGGAGCTGGAAGGCCCTGAAGAGTAATCCTGCTCCAGATCTGCATTGGCACGTGTCCACGATGATAGCGCCTTATTGCCGAACCAAACCAATGTAACCTCATCAGAATAAGGGACAACAACTGAATAAGTACCGTTGATAGGCGCATATAAGAATGCCCGGTGGTTAACAGCCTTATACTGCCATGTCTGACTTGGTGCGCCAGGATAGATAACCTGGGCTGGGCCTGAGTTTCCTGCTTTGACTCCTCCTGGCTCTGTAATGCCTATAGAGCTTGTGACACCAGTGTAAGTGGGTGTAGCTGTGCCGAAATATGCTATGTTGAGGGCAGAGTAATTAGGCGGATCAGCATTGTAGTACGAGTTGGTATAGATAGCGTATTCCAGACCACCGTTGTTACATGTTTGATCTGCAGCCTTGGTTCCAACTGCGGGAGCGACGACCACCACAGTGGCAGTCTGTCCGGCGGAAGACGGAGTCCCAGTGGATGTGCTGGCGCTCGAGACAACAGTGGTATAGCTAGTTACAGTGGTGTATGGTTGGGGTTTCTGCATAACCACTGTAGCAACGCCGCCAGGAGATGTTGGTGATAGGGTAGTGGTACCAGTTGTCGTGAAGGTACCCCAGCTTGTGGTCGTCGTATAGGACTGGGGTCGTTGAACAACAACAGTAGCAACGCCACCCGGAGATGTCGGGGATATGGTAGTGGTACTAGTGGCTGTGAAGGTACCCCAGCTTGTAGTAGTTGTGTAGGACTGAGGCAAGTCCACAACGACAGTAGCTACACCGCCTTGGTACGCTGGTGACATTGTGGTGGTTGATGCTGCTGTAAAGCTGCCATAGTTGGTCACAGTCGTATAAGGCTGGGGTGATTCCACAACTACAGTCGCTACACCGCCCTGAGATGCAGGAGCCATGGTAGTGGTTGTTACCGCTGGGTAGGGGCCATAGCTGGTCACAGTCGTATATCGTTGGGGTGACTCCACAACAACAGTCGCTACATCACCTTGTGATGCTGGTGCCATTGTAGTGGTTGTTACTGCTGGGTAGGGACCATAACTGGTGACAGTCGTATATCTTTGGGGCAGCTCTACTACAACACTAGCAACGCCACCTGGATATGCCGGCTGATGAGTGGTTGTCATAGCTGATGGGTAGGGACCGTAACTAGTTACAGTCGTGTATGGCTGAGGACTCTCTATAAGAACAGTGGCTACGCCACCAGGACCAGTGGGTGCTAACGTTGTAGTAAGAGGTTGAGTCCAAGAGCCATAACTGGTCACGGTAGTGTATGCCTGAGGACTCTCGACAAGGACAGTGGCAGGATCTCCGGGATTGGCCGGTTGGTTTGTCGTAGTCAGAGGTGCAGTCAGGCCATCGACATAGGTCGTGATCGTTGTGTACACCAGAGGGCTCTCAATGACAACAGTAGCTGGATCCCCAGGATTCGCAGGCTGCTTTGTCGTTGTCACAGGAGCACTTAAGCCATCAATATATGTCGTGACAGTCGTATGTCCCAATGGGCTCTCAACAATGACCGTAGCAGGATCACCAGGACTGGCCGGCTGGCTTGTCATAGTCTGAGGTGCAGTCAGACTATCAACATACGTCGTGATGGTTGTATACGCCAGAGGGCTCTCGATAACAACAGTGGCCGGATCCCCTGGATTAGCCGGTTGATTGGTCGTGGTTATAGGAGCAGTTAAGCCATCAACGTAGGTCGTAACCGTCGTATGCGCCAAAGGGCTCTCAATAATAACCGTGACAGGATCTCCAGGATTAGCGGGTTGGTTTGTCGTAGTCATAGGTGCAGTCAGACTATCAACATACGTCGTGATAGTTGTGTAGGGCTGAGGAAGACCAACGACTACAGTCATCACATCACCTGGATTAGACGCCGGTAAGGTTGTAGATGCCGGGCCCGCGAGGCCTGGAATGTAGCTTGTGACAGTCGTGTAGGATTGAGGGAGATCAACCTCGACAGTAGCAAACTTTCCTTGCACATCGGGAGAGTATGTTGTAGTCTCAGCTTCAGTCAGACCATCTTTGTAGCTCGTGACGGTTGTATAAGGCTGGGGGAGATCAACTTCTACAGTGCCGACCTGACCTGCGACAGAGGGTGGATATGTTCGAGTGGTGGCTGCAGTGAAGGAACCATAGCTAGTGACTGTAGTGTAAGGCTGGGGGAGATCAACCAGGACGGTAAGAGTTGGGCTGGACCCATCACCGCTTTGAGTTGTTGTCGAGGCAGCTGTGACGCTTCCATATCTCGTAGTAGTCACGTATAACTGCGGATCAAAGATCACGACAGTGCCCCTTGCCCCAGGAGCAGATGGAGTTATGGTGGTAGTTGATTCGGCTGTGACGCCTCCGTACGAAGTAACGGTCGTATAAGGTTGTTGCATCATAACCAAAACAATACCTGTCTGGCCAGGAGACGGGGGAGGCGAGGTGTATGTGGTAGCGGTCGAGACGGCTCCATACGACGTAATTGTCATATATGGCTGCGAGTTGTAGACTATCACGGTGCCTGTTTCTCCCGGAACAGTCGGGGTTATGGTGGTAGTGGATGCAGCCGTAATGGCTCCATATGAAGTAATGGTGGTATATGGCTGTGGATCGAAGACCACCACAGTTCCCGTCTCCCCTGGAGCAGATGGAGCTATAGTGGTTCTGGATTCAGCCGTAACGTCTCCGTATGAGGTAACGGTCGTATATGGCTGTGGATCGAAGACCACTACGGTGCCAGTTTGACCTGGGGTAGATGGAGCAATGGTGGTTCTGGATTCAGTCGTATAACCTCCGTACGAAGTAATTGTTACATATGGCTGTGGATCAAAGACCAATACGGTGCCTGTTTGACCTGGCGCGGACGGAGCTACGGTAGATGTCGATGCAGCTGCAAAATCTCCAAATGAAGTGACAGTCGTATATGGCTGGGGATCGAAGATCACTACAGTTCCCGTCTGACCTGGGGTGGATGGGGATATGGTAGATGTCGATGTAGCTGTAAATTCTCCAAAGGAAGTGACGGTCGTCCACTGATAAGCCTGATACATAACAACAGTGCCTGTTGCATCTGGGGCAGTTGGAGATATGGTGGATGTCGAGTCAGCTGTGAAATCTCCATAAGACGTGATGGTAGCCCATTTGTAAGGCTCATATACCATCACAGTGCCTGTCTGCGCTCCAGGATCTGGCGATAGAGTGGTTGTGGACGGAGCTGCGATTCTTGGATCGTGAGAGGTGACGGTCGTCCACTGATGAGCCTGATACACAACAACGGTGCCTGTTGCGCCGGGAGCAGTTGGATATATTGTGTTTGTTGATGCTGCGACGCTTCCATAGGAAGTAACTGTGACCCATGGATCTGGCTGGTATACCACAACGGTACCTGTTTGGTCTGGAGAGGGTGGTGATATAGTCTTTGTAAATGCGGCTGTGATCGTTTCGTCATAAGAGCTGACTGTCACCCATCTATATGCCATATACTCGACTATCGTACCTACATGACCGGACGCAGAAGGCCACATAGTCGTTGTATGGTCAGATGGAGCAGTAGGATCATAGGAGGTGACGGTCTCCCACTCGTACGGATCATAGACAATAACAGTACCAGTTCCGCCAGGAGCACTGGGAGTTATTGTACTCGTGGCAATAGCTGTGATCGAGCCATCATAAGATGTCACGGTAACGTATTGAGCCAATGGGCTCGGTACCACAATCACCACCGTACCAGGTCCAGGTCCTGACGGGGTTTCGGTGATGGTGTAGGTCCCAGTGTCCGTGCCAGTGCTAGTGATGGTTGTATAGTCAATCGGGGCATCCGAGGTCATCTGAGACCTGGGGGTCATGACCCAAACCGTTCCTGTTTCACCGGGTCGAGCTGGAGATTGCGTGCTGGTCATAGGAGCAGTACCAGTTCCTTGAGTGGTTATTGTAGTCCATGGCACTGTAGGATCTGAAGCAGTGGTAGAGCCGTCCTGGGCAAGAATCTTATTCATAGGTGCAGGAAAGCTACTAGTGTCCTGCCCCATTACTGTAGAACCTGAAGAAGTGGCAGGGTTGCCCTGGGAAGGAGTCTGGATCGTAGGAACAGCAGCACTATCAGTATCCTGCCCGATTGCTGTAGGATCTGAATTAATGGCGGAGCTTTCGGGCTCGGATGGAGATGAAGTCAAGGCCGGAGCTTGGGAGACAGGCGCCTTTGTATCGCCTTTCCTGTAACCTTGCATTCTGACGATCACGGTTACTATGTCGCATGGATTTTGGGTAGGCAGAGTGGTTGTCTCAGGCGCAGATATCATACGGTCAGTCGACGATAAAATGGTCACATGGCTCTCTACCATGACAGTCCCACATGATGGCTGACGGTCCGCAAGGGGAATGTTGTAGGTAGTGTTTGGTTCACCATGTCCATAGAGGGTAGGGGGGACGTAAGAATCATCACTTTGAAGGAGAAATGTACTACAGACATTAGCTAAAGAAGGCCGATGAGAATCCCTACATGTCATACCTTGTCAAAATGTCATACAACGTATTTGATCCGTCAATTATCTCGATGGGCTGCGTCTGGATGGCCCGCTTGCCTATCAATGTTGCATCGGACCCTGTGCCTGAGAAGACCAGGGCCCAGAAGCCCGCCATGCGACGACGCGACATGATGAAGGAGTGTAGGGGAAAAAACAACCCTGTCAATTGGCTGAGTAATGAGAGAAATGAATAAATGGTCAGTTGGTCAACTGCAATAATCGAGGAAAGGAATGAAAGAAGGAAATAAATAAATAGCACAACGTGAATGCATAGGCCAGAGGCCGATCTGAGAAAGAAGGCCGGCATCTAGCTTTCATCATGAGGCACCATCGGCAGAACTTATTTTATTTTAGTTCATCCACCTTGATCATTTTCATCCACAGTAAGAATGCGTGAAGTTTCCGGCAAGCCATTTAGTGCGGTTCCGGTGCCTACCAAAAGATTCGAGACCATGTGCAGTGTCCGACCCGATCCAGGAGTGCTGAGCAACCATGTCCTCGGCTAGCTCGGCAATCTCTTTGCCGCAGCAAGAAATGATATTATTTATTACAGTTTGGGCTAGTAAGTTCAAAGTGTCTCTCATGTGGCTGTCTTATATCAGGGCAGTGGTGCAAATGGAATGCTAAGCTCCCATTGGGGATATAAGCTTTCAGCCACAAGTCTCAATTGCAAACAACAGGTCGGAGGAATGCAATATCACTCAGTGGTATTCTACTCTGGGTATAGTCTGGGAGATCATTTCTAACTCTTTTTCATACATAATTGGCATAAAAGAAGAGGTCTGTGATCTCATAATTGATCGAGACTGGAGGGACTTGTCTGTTCTTACTGGTCAACTTCATTTCAATCTGGCAATATCTATAGAGAAAGCATCACTCCTGTAAGCATTATGTTAATTGGTCTAGATGAACAACGTTTAAGACATGTCTCTGTCCCTGAATGTGCGCGGTATGAAAATAATAAAGCCACTTAAGTTGAGGAGGTTACTAGGCTTGGTCGAGATCGAGGATAAGGTTTTGCACGACGTAATGCAAATCAGATCAGATCTTGTGGCGCCGGGCGGAACACGGTTCGTATGAACTTACAAGCTTATTATCACGCGGGTGAGTACCAAAAGAGCTACTGTCCATGCCGCAAGTCAGATCTCTCTCGGTGCGGCCCTTGCATTTCCCCTGCATTTCTCCGTCATTAGCCTAGCTTCTCGTCTTTCGTTCTGGCTAGCGTATTGCTTGTTTCTCTTGCGATAGCTTGCCCTGAGCTATGGTGGAACCTCCCAGGGACGCAGTCGACAGTACACCTCCCTATCTCTTATGGGTCTTGGCCTGATATGGAGCTCACGATGCTTCACAGGTACCACTCCACTGATTCTCAACCCTCATTTTCATCCATTAGTTTCCCAGATAATGCACTATGAGATTTAAATATACCGAAATGAGAAGATAAACAGATATCCAATTAGCATTCGCAGCACTACCTCGACTTGACTATCAGTTCCCCCACTCAGGCCACAACAGGAATCCTCACTGTTTCCCAATTTCCGAGTGTGCCTGATCTTCATGCGGAATTAAAATCGCAGATTATTAGTTGCAGGTTCCTCAACACAGCTAGATTACTAACTAGGAGCGCCCAATATGGCCCGCTAGCGATGAAAGTATTTAGCTAAGAAGGCCAGGGAGACAATATGCACGCAAGGGAGATTGTAATTAAGTATGCTGTATGGCGACGGCTAGACAGGTTATATATTGCTGGTCTTGCTATAATTCACTAGGCTTGGTCTGCCTACATATAGGCTGTAGTTTCCTACGGTTTTCAGGTGTCTTTACAACCCTGATAATTTGAAATCAGAAAGTCATTAGGGATATCTCTTCAGGCTGGTGTTATTTAGAGGCACTATTACATATTAGATAATATTTTATCACGCTTTAATGTATCTATATATATAAATATTACTTTGCAGTGCTAGAGACCATTACCCGTCTAGCTATTAATGATTACCTATTTATTAATAAGAAATGAAGCCATCTCACTCCGAATCAATATACATTTTTATAGAACAGATCTTAGTATATCCCTAAACTCGCGAACAACCGATAGAAATAAGGCCGCCCTGTAGTAACACAAGTTAACATCATTCAGTGAACGTTATTAGGAAGTAAATGCTTACATGGCTGTTATCATTACAGCAAACTGCTATGGCCGGACAAGCTGCGGGATTAGTAATAGAAGAACCTGAAAGGAAATGTTAGGCCACGAAACGAAAAGGTAGTGAGGGAACACATACATGTTGCTCCGAGGACAGTGTTGGGATCTTGAACCACAATACCAAGCAACCCCAGAAGAAGGCTGATGACGGGACTGGTAGGGGTTCCAACAGTTTGGCAGCATGTCAGGGCGGCTGGTGCAACGCATATGCTAGCAGCAGCAGTAGTGGTAGCAGCAACCGCGCTTGATTCTGTCGTAGTCTCGAGGATAGATGTGATGGCAGCCGTTGTCGTTGTCGCGTCAGCTGGCTCGGTTGACACAGTCGCTGCGAAAGTTGAGGAGAACGACTCGATCGTCGTCACACCAACAAGTCCAGTGGTTTCAGAACTGCTCTCGACGCTAGAGGGTCGGCAAGGACCCGCTGAAACGGCACCAAGAAAGATGGACAGCGCCAACGCAGAAAATCGCATCTTGGCAGATCAAGTGGCTTCAAGCCGTTTAAAAAAAAAAATTAGTAGTTGATTGGGGAAAATGAAACAAAAGAGAAAGATATCTATCTAGCGGCGCAAAGGAAATAGGAGTACCTGCGTTGGAATAGTAAGCTAATGCCAATAGTTTCTCAGTAGTGCATGGGCTAAGACCAGAGTCGCCATTGAAGCGAAATGAATTGCATGCAACAGTGCTCTTATTGGCCAAATCGCGACCGACTTGGAAATAATCACGAGAATGTCGGTGCTCCTCGAAACATCAACGAAGTGCATAGAGTAGCTGAAGTGAGTTGCATCTTACACGCGGAAAATAGAGCAGGTCAGCAATGTTCGCCCTCCAAACAATTCCCCGTCTCTTATTGTCGTTTGGTTTTATTGTTATCTATCTTTAATCAATTAATACGACAGAAGTGGCTTTGCATCTGCACCTACTACAACGAAACCATGTCTTGTGCCAATGAACAAACTTATGGGAGCTATTTCGTCTCCCAACACTTATCAGCCCCAACGGCTAACCAGACTGAATAAGCAACATTCATCTGCGACTGGGTATACAACTGATTTCCGTTAACCAACGTCAACGGCAAGTCATCTATTAAATTAGGCATCAGTCCAAGTCTACTAGCCACGCTGGATCCGCATTATGTGGCAAGTGTCATCGCGGGGCCCCGCATGGCGAAAAGAAGTTCACCAGATATATGTGTTACAGGGACATTGCCTTGTTACTACTGCCGCTGCATCTTTCAGATGGATGACATGAACCAGTGGATGCGAATGATCACCAGGTTCCCCATTTCCGAGCGTATCTGATCCTAGTGCGGAATTTAAGTTGCAGATTATTAGTCATACCGTAGATTCCTCAAGACCGAGAGGGTGGATATCATCTCACTGTCCAGGATATCAGGTAGTTGATACAAGGTGAAGAAGATAGAGTGTTCTTGTCTGGTTTACGAATGCATTGACGAATTCGTATCTTTACTGTTGAGTATCCGATGCGTCTCATATACAAGGCAGAGTCAAGAGCTCGCTTCAAGCATCATGCCCGACATTTGTCCAAACTGCGCCCTACAGCAGCAAGCACGCACTAACTATCCCGCCCTTCATATCATAGCCCGCCAAAAACTGGGTCGGAAAGCAACGGCTCAAGGACCCAGAATTGGTTGTTCGATAACCCACTCACGCTGGGAATTGCACTCAAACTGGGAATTCGTCTAACAGCCATCGCGCTCGGCAATTCCCAACAGTAACTAACGACATGATCGGAAAACTCTTATCGCGTGGATCTCACGCAGCTTGACGCTCTTCCCCACGGGGTTATCGGCCCATGGAATTGGATAAGCTTGGCTTGTCGAGGATATATAGACATCATTCTCCCCAGGTCAGGTCACTTCCTCAACCTTCTCTTCCCAAATCATTTCCCTTGTTAGATCTTTGCTCGTTCATAATGAGTCAACCCAAAACCACAAACGACTCCGACATCATCGTCGCAGGTGAAAAACAAGATGGCATCCACCGTCAAGCATCCTTCAGCGAAGCCACAGCGCAGATGTTCCAAACCGATCTCGAAAAAGAAAAGACCATCCAGGGCACAGCTCATTTCCAGCGCCTGGGTTGGAAACGTCTTACCGTCGTACTCATCGTCCAGGCCATCGCCCTCGGCAGTCTTAGTCTCCCTGGAGCTTTCGCTACCCTCGGAATGGTCGCTGGCGTTATATCCTGCATTGGAATCGGGCTTATCGCTATGTATGCCAGTTACATGGTCGGTCTTGTCAAGCTGAAATATCCTGATATTGATCATTATGTCGATGCTGGTCGACTTTTGATGGGAGGCTTTGGTGATAAACTCTTCGCTGTTGTCTTTTTGGGCTTGTTGATCTTGGCTACTGGCTCCCACTGCTTAACCGGCACCATTGCCCTTGTCAAGATCACGGGTAGCAGCGTGTGTACCCTCGCTTTTGGGGTCATCTCTGCTGTTATCCTTATGGTTCTTGCGATTCCACCTTCATTCACTGAGATTGCGATCCTCGGTTACATCGACTTTATCTCCATCATCCTTGCGATCGGTATCACCATGATTGCGACTGGGATTCAGAGGTCAGACGCCCCAGGTGGTTTCTCATCTTCTACTTGGTCAGCGTGGCCACAGGATGACCTTAGCTTCACTCAGGCACTCACAGCGGTCTCAAATATTGTCTTCTCATATGCATTTGCAGCTGCCCAATTTTCCTTCATGTCCGAAATGCATACGCCTGCCGATTTCACAAAATCCATCGTCACTCTGGGTCTTACAGAAATCGTTTTATATACCATCACGGGATCAGTAATCTATGCATTCGTTGGCCAGGAAGTTCAGTCCCCCGCCTTGTTATCCGCCAGCCCGTTGGTATCGAAAGTCGCGTTTGGCATTGCCTTGCCCGTCATCTATATCTCAGGCTCAATCAACGCCACGGTCGCTTGCAGATTTATCCACGGTCGACTTTATAAGAACACTATTACACGGTTCATCAATACCCGCAAAGGCTGGATCACTTGGTTGGCTGTTGTTGCCTTTGTGATCTTCCTTTCGTGGGTTATCGCAGAAGCTATCCCATTTTTCTCCGAGCTTCTGGGGATCTGTGCGGCCCTCTTCATTTCGGGTTTTTCGTTCTGGATCCCTCCCATTATGTGGTTCTTCCTTCTCAAGGAGGGCAATTGGTATGATAAGCACAATGTCAAGCGTGCTGTATGTAATTGCATTGTCTTTATCGTCGGTTTCTTTGTGTTTGTCGCCGGCACATATGCCAGCATTGACCAGATTGTAAGTTTGCTGAAGAATTCCCATTTTACGATAACTAATGTAACTACAGATTGCCAAATTCAATGGAGGCAGTGTCGGCAGGCCTTTCTCCTGCAATGTGGCTTAAGACTTTGTCATTATTCCTGGGTACGGAGATTGGTACATAGGTCCATCCCATAATAGATAGCTTACCGTCGGCAATGAATAAACTCTGTTGATTCACTTGTATGAGATAAAAGCCAAATGCATCATTCCATCGGATTCTCCGTCTTGGTTCAGCAACTGGTTCAGCACCTAGACTAATAGTTTGGGATCACTGGCCTCCGACAATCGGAGCTCCATCGACTGATTACACTGAAAATGCAATTACCTACCATAAATCGCTATGTGTCAAGGAATAGACTCAAGTTTTGTTACGAAAGGTCCAGCCAGTTATTCGTTGCTGTCAGTCGTGCTCAACAGCGCTAGTTTCAGCGCTTTAGTGCAACCAGCGCCCTGAGTGGTTTAGTCAATCCACTGAACAGGCCATTAAAGCAGCATCGAATCCACTTCTTTTCCCCTCGCTTGATTTCCCACCTTGCACGTTCAATTCCGAGCTTGACAAACCCCACAACACAACAACAGATCATGCCCCGAGGACGCAGGGGCTGTTGGACATGTCGCATCCGTCACAGAAGATGTGACGAGTCCTCCCCAGAATGCAAAGAGTGCAGTACTCGCAGTATTACTTGCCATGGATACGACCTCGATCCTCCAGAATGGATGAGCAATGATCAGTTACTGCAAGAAGAGCTTCGGCGGATCAAAATTGCAGTCAAGGAGAATTTCCGACGCGTCAAGACCATTCAGAACCGCCAACTTGCTCGGTCAACAGCTCAAGCAGCACAAGCTTCGCGTGGGAAAGCCACTTCTCGGCCCGGAGGCGAAGCAACTCAACGTCCAGCGCAAGTCGGCTCATCAACTACAAACACCATCTTTCGAGAGGCACAGTATCTTGTTCATTACCTCGACTACATCTTTCCCATTCAGTATGCTTTCTACGTCGATGCACCAGATCAAGGAGGGAGGGGGTGGCTCTTCTTCCTTCTTGAAAGAAGTATGATATATCCCTTGTGAAGATACTCACTCTGACCGCCAAACAGATGCACCTCTTCGAAACGCAGCTTTGACCCTTTCCGCCTTCCACCAGCATACCTTCTCACCCTATCATACGGAGAACCAAGAAGACGAACTATTACGATACCATACCAAAGCACTTCAAGAACTCCGACATGTCGTCCGCCATCGAGACGTCGGTGCTTCTGCCGATAACATCGAGGAATGGCTCAAGTTCCTTGCTGGCGGTATGTTTTTAATCTCCTTCGAGGTAAGATTACAACATACACATATTAGACTCTATTCTAACTCGGGATAGGTCTTCCAAGGCGGTATAAATAATTGGCAAGCGCACTTCAACGCCCTCGTATCCGTTATCCAGAACCTGACATCCGCCGACTTTCAATTCGACGCGTCCGATCCTTCGAGCCCAGACTTTGACTTCCAGCGAGGCATGAATACTGCGCAAAAGTTTATTCTCGCGAACCTCGTCTGGATCGATATACTCGCGCCACTGTCTACGGGGACTGCGCCGAGGCTACCATATCACGACTGGCTAAACGCTGGAAAGATTGACATGTCGAGGGTTATGGGCTGCTCAAACTGCATCATGGTCGCGATCGGTGATATGATGGCCCTAGATTCCAAGGCTATGACTATGGACCACGAATCTTTACAGATTGCCATCGATGACTTAGACAAACGCATAAATAACGGAATAGAAGCGGCGTTAGATGATAGATCAACGGTTTGTACCACTTTACAAGGTTATAAGCCAACTTTTGCTAATCAGCCTAGTAGTTGACAATGACCAATCGCTCCGTAACCCACCTCTTTGCAACTGCAGCACTCGTCCAACTATACACTCTTGCTTCAGAACACAATCTCAGTTCACCAGACCCCAGTGGAACTGTATCACGAGTCATCCAAGTATTGGACAGCCTACCTCCACATATATCTCTTCGAGCAACGCCATGGCCTCTATGCATTGCCGGTTCCATGGCACTTCCTCCTAATGAGCAGTTCTTTGACGATTTGTTGACGAAGCTCATGGATCATGCTGAGGCAGGCTTCACAAATTGTGGTACGGTTTATAAAGTGATGCAAAATGCATGGAAGCAACGACGGCGAGACCCAAGTAAACTTTGGAGTGCACGGCAATCAATGGAGGATATGGGTATCTGTGCTCTTCTAATATGAGGTCTCTGTGACGAGGCTAAACGGCAGTAGGCCCTGTTCGCCTGACCATTAGTGACGAGCCCGCCACTGAGAAACTCTCCTACTACAACGCCTTTAGAGGTATGGAGTATCATAAGACATCTCAGCCAAACTTCCATTGTCACTTCATTTCACAAACAGCAAGCCGCTCAAATATTATGAATTACTTCAACTACCCGATCCTACATCTATAACCTACTCCTTGCCCTTCAGGCTGAAGCGGTACTTCGCCTGAAGAACATAAGGGTTGCCACCAGGCTCATAGAGCTGCTTCTCAAGTCTCTGCCACTCAGGGTTGTTGATGCCGTCAATGTAGTCCTGAACCTCAACGACCATGCATCCATACTTGGGGATAATTCGGGGGAAGTCCTTGTTATCCTTCAGACCCTGGGTCTTCTTGAGAGGCATGGTACCCTTCTGCTGAGTGCAGCTGTAGAATTGGAAAGCATCCTGATCAGTGTAGATGTCGAGCTGGATGCCAGACCAGGCGGAGGAGATAGTGGCCACGGGACCCTCGGTTCGCCAGTCAAAGTTACCAAGCTGGCCACGGTTGACGCTGTAGCAGGTGTCTGAGATTGTTAGCGATGTTATAGATCGTGTGAAATGAGAAACTAACCATATCCTGTGCAGTTGAAACCGCAGTTGTTCTCCAAATCCTTGTTGTTGGCTTGGTCACCAATCATCTTGGGCTTGCTCCAGAAATCATTCACAGATCCCTTCTTGTTGGGAATGATATCACCAGTAGGGATGAGAATGTTATCGGTCGCAACACGCTGGCCACCGTAGGGCATGTAAAGGGTATGGTTGGAAATGGTGCTTGTCTCGTTGTTGGAGAAGCCGTCAAGATTCCAGTAGGTATGGCTGGTGAGCATGATAGGGGTCTTCTTGGTGGTCGCAAGAGCAACAATCTTGAAATCCCAGTCCATGCCGGTCAGGGTGTAGGTGACGTAGGAGACAACCTCTCCGGGGAAACCCTCCTTGCCATCGGGGTCAACGATGGAGAAGGTGATGCTGGAGTCGGTGTACGACACAACAGTGAAGTTGCGGTAGTCCCAGCCGTCAGGTCCGCCGTGGAGAGTATCAGCGCCCTTGGGCGACTCAGGCGTAGGGTTGTCGTTGGGCGTGACGTGATACTTCTTGCCGTCAATCTCGAACGTGCTGTTGCGAATACGGTTGGCGTATCTTCCGGGAACACCGCCGAGATGGGGGTGAGACTCGTCAATGCTATAGTGCGTAGCATTATCGAAGCCAGCAACGATATCTCGGGAGATGCCGTACTGATCGTCGATCAGAAGATTGGTGATGGAGGCGCCATAGGGAATGAAAGCGGCCTTGATGCCATCTCCCTTGATCCAGTATTTGCCATCCTTGTCGGGACCCTTGCCTTTGGTCGCAAGGGCCAGTGGGATGAGAGCAGCAACGACAGCCTTGAAGAACATGATTGCGGATGATCAAGGTGGAGACTGGCCCAGCAAGAAAGAGCGAAAACCCCAAGCTTTTATAGAAAAACCGACGATCTCTTGTCTTTTTCGCGCAGCAAACTTCCACCAACAAAACCCCTCTCCAATTGAAGGATCTCAGGGTCTCGTTTAGTGATCGTCTGATGAGCTTTCAAGTTCAATGACTGGTGCGGCTGTCATCGTCATCCAGGAACTTGCCATTTGATCCGCGATCCTGGGGTAGTTTTGGAGCTAAGAAGCTTCCCCAGGTTCTCCGCGCGAGTGTAATTGGTGCGCCTGGGTCGGGTAATCTTAGCGAACTCTGTTCTTGACATGGTTGTGCGAGTCTGGATTGGGATCGTCGTGCGGGGGAAATTCAGGCTTTTTGCACGTTCATGGCATTTCTACAGGTTCGGCAGCCGTATCCCGCCGAGGGATTCGCCGAGACAAGGCTGGTGGTAAGCGGTAATTATGCGACGGGTGACAGCTTCACAGCCCCTCCAATCAGTTGACAAGCTAATTTGAAGCTCGAAATGCAATTTATGTGATGGAATCCCCGACCTGGCTATATGTTACAGGCTGATTGGTTTCAATTGGAGTGTACAGAGTATTTGTAAAGATTATGAATCTGAAAAGTCGGGGAACAATAACACGAGGTTGGGGAAATGTTATTGCAGGGGTCTGGGAACTTATGAGAGTTTTGACGTCATTGTCTCTTACAATCATACCCTAGAGTCGACGTGCAGAATTCCATGTTGCATTTCGTGATACTACCTGCGAGCTTGTGATGATCATCCGTGAGACATGCAAAGTAAGATTGTCTGTACGGGCACGGCCGCCCGAGTTCAGGAACCAAGGCTTAGTGACTCCAAGGCGGCATGAAAACGTGGCTCTGGGACCATCAGATGGAAATTGGTGTCTAATGATTGGGTTCCATCTTGTTGGGACGAACTGGACGGGAATGCTCAACGGTCTCCGTCTGTCTCACATCGGCTGATTCGTTCCAACGAATATACAGGGTAGCTTTGATTACGGTGAGTTTTAGTAACATGTGATAAGAATCTTTCACGGTAGCTACATGAACTTGGCGACTTCTGAACCTGATATAGCACCGCCGCGAGTTTTCCCTTGTGCAAAAATGTCTCAGTATCTAACCAAATAACTCGGCATTGACATGCTAGACCATTTTGTGAGGAGGAGAAATTTGTATACCTAGGTCTTGAAGTCTGGCCGCACAGAACTTATGTCGAAGTCCTCGACTTGAATCTTCCCTTCAAATTCAGACAACGCTGTGGAGACGGCACGTATCGCTCCACCACTCGGAGCTGCCTTACGCTCCGATCTCTCCTGTTCTGGGCGGAAGTGGATCCACATCGACAGCCGAATGTAGAGAGAAAAGCTCACACGAAATTGTGACTTCTACAGCTTCTAATTATTCTCAAATGCAATCTAATAAATGGTATCACTATCTATCGTCTATCATATACGTCTACTTTACCACAAAGAAAATAGTGACACAAGGGCCATGACCAGCATGATACCCAGCGAGGGTGCGTGGAAACTGCCCCCCGAGTCCCCGGACATCCCCTCCTCGAATCCCTTCTCTTCACCACCCAAATACTCCGCACCCAGCTTCGTCAAACCCCCATCATCATCAAAAAGCGACACACTGTCGCCAGTCCACTCGTTCGCATCATCTTTCCTAAATGCTCCAAACCATGCATAGGCCTGCACATCATCACTCTCATCAAGATAAGGAAGACTCTCATTCATCATAGCCAGCGTCGCATCGTCGTCCTCTTTCGGTAGAGCCATTTCCGTAATCCAGAACCGTGCGTCAGGCGCCGTCTCGTTGTAAAACTCGCGCAAACTCCCCAGCCAATTTTTAAGACCGCCTGCGTCGCCGTACCAATGCACAGCGACGAAATCTGTAGGACACCCATCGTCGTCAATGTTGTAGCAGGATTCATTAAAGTCGCGTAGCCATTCAAGACCGCGTGGTGAGCCGGTGACGCTGGGATGGCTGATTGACCACTTGCGCTTTGCTTTTCTGAGAGGGACGATGTGTTCCATGTACGCGCGCGCTGCATCTTTGGCAGATATCGCGCTTCCGCCAGTGTCTGTTTCGCCATCTGGCTCGTTGAATGTGAGGAGGTGCGTAGATGATTCGGGAAGCCCATTTAGTCGCGACTCGAGCTCAGAATCTGATGCATCGTCGAGGCCGTGAATCAATGGCACAAATGGTAAGGAACTCCCGATTTGACCGTTTGGCCAGAGGGACCAGGTGTAATACCATGCGATCTCGGAATTATTTGAGATCAGGAGCTCATTATCCGATTTATGGTCATCTCCATGGTATGCAAGGCCGCGTTTTGACGAGAGGTCAATGCTCTCAGCGAGCCCCCAGAGGCATAAAAATGGGTACAAAGTTGATTGGCGCATTTTGGGTGTTAGAGTGTCTGGTATGCTGTGAAACCCTCGTTCAACCAAGAGCGCTTTAATACGTGATTGACAGCTGGAAAATCAGGATTGAAACATATATTTTAAGGTTCTAGGATTCGTTTCAGAATGTCAAGGGTTTCCTTGGAATAGCTACTTTTCTTTTGTACGTGTCGCCTGTCTTTTGGCTGGGCAGAGTGGCAATCGTCTGAGCCTTGTCAATGATGTCATATGTCCGCCAAGTTAAACCCTGCCTCGACACCAAGACTTGGCAGCGTCAAGGACTCTCGGTATCCTGATACTGACATAATTGGCTCACCGCTCGATTTAAAGAGCGTAGAAACTCAAGCCTCGTGGAAAACTTACCGCTTTGGGACAATTACCTGATTTGGTGACGACACGTGGGTTTCGCATGCGCTCCTTCCGTGTTTTTGAGGAGGTAAGATACTTACTCAAAGTCTAATTGAACCGCGACGACCCCATGAACGATATGGCCTTTAATTTACAGAGACAAATTTGATGCGGAATGCGACTATTGATCTGACATCCAATATCACGCGTCGTAGTCAAGGTACATCGCGGCCCTTTGGATGCGCCAGTTCGGCACTTTTGGTGAGCCATCTGTGGGAAATATCAGTAAAGGCAAACGAACACTGCCAGATCACGATCAATAATAATTACCTATAACTATAGCCCTCTTGTATAAGATATTTACTGTAGTATTTCTTCTGTATGGCAGTAGACGGGCTGAGGAGGCCACCTGAGTTCATTTGAGAGTATGGACTTGGGGGCATCTGGAGACGAAATGAGCGAAAGGGTTCGCTAATGTCTAGGACAGAATGGGAACTGCTGCCGAATCATTGAGACTCCTGTTACGATCAAGGTACAGTTGGCGAGGCATTGTAATAATCTAGAAGAACGCTCCTGGGGAACTGTATTTGCCCAAGATAACAAATAGGGGTGTGTAGGGCCTGGGAGAAAATGGGATGAACATGAATCTGGTGATTTTCATCAACTTTCAAGGACAGTTATAGCTATATGTACCGCCATAATAGTTCTTCGTATGATCTGACGAAAGTAGCTACTCAACCACTTCATGAATGGCTGCTGCAACGTCTCTGGGCAGCCTTCTCAGTACGAATAATCCTACTCCAATGATAATTCGTAGCTGTTTCAAACGAGTGACTATTTTCGGTAGATCAGAAAACCCTAGATAAACACATATGGTTAGATCACCGAGTGAGGGCCGAATGTTGAAGAGTCACCGACATGTCGCCGCCCCATGGTGATCGACAAAGAACGCGGGGTACTCGGTAGGAGCCGTGGTGCATAGACCTGGAAATCTTCTTAAGTACTCTAGTGTTTCAAAACAATATCGTTAAATAAGGCTCTTAGGAGATAGGCCGCTGGCAATTCTATACGAGACTGTTTGCGTGAGCCATAAGAGCTTGCATTTCCTGTCAGCAAGGGTCATAGCTAGTGTAACGGCTCGGCCTCATTTACTCCTCTCGTTAGGTATCCGGCTCTTCGCATTTAACACTCGCGGAAGTCTGATCATGGGTTTTGCAGATCATACTGGGGTAGCGGAAAGTCTCCGAAATCCCCAGGTTCAGGCGGAGTCTCCGCCCGATATTCAGGTCCGACGACCCCAAAACGGTCACATCCGATGAGTTTATGCGAGGAAGTCTTGGCATTTGTCCTTGTTATGCATACATTCGGGCCGTGGCCGATCGATGCTACCCTTTTCTCTCTCCGCAGTGAGCATTTGGCCTAGTTTACCAAAATGACTTGGTGTTAAACTTGTCACGATATGTCTGTTTTTCAGTCCAGGGCTGGAAAGAAGCGCCGAAGAGTGAGTAATGCATATTATAGTCAGGAGTCAGAGAGCTTTTCCTGACATCAGTTGACAGGGCTTGAAGAAACATCATAGGTGGAACAACCGTCCTCTAAGAAGTGAATGTTCCGCTTAATGGCCGAGGGTGATGGCAATGATCGGGATGGCTTCACAAACTTGAAGTGAGTCCTATGATCAGGAGAAAGGTTCGGAACGAGAGAAAATGGAAATGATCTTCCTTGCAAGCGACGAAAGATTTGTGAGAGAGCAGGGGTAAAACGTGTATAAGAAGCGCTGATGGCCTCAACAAGTTCAACAGTTTCGACACCATTGAACAAGCCTTTACGCCCAAGATTACGAGATCTACAAGCTATCAACATGTTCACCCTTCAAGCACTTCAACTTGCCTCCATGTGCACCCTCGTGTACGGACATGGCTACCTTAGTAAGCCCATGAGCCGAACCGGTCTTAACGCTGAGGTAAACATTCCCATCCTATCTATGACTCCAGTTAACAAGTGACAGGCCGGCCCAGATACATGCCCCGAGTGCACTATCCTCGAGCCTGTCACCGCCTGGCCAGACCTTGACGCCGCCAAAGTCGGTCGATCTGGCCCTTGCGGCTACAATGCCCGAGTCAGCGTCGACTACAACCGGCCCGGCGCCAACTGGGGCAAACAACCCATCGCCACCTACAAGCCCGGCCAAGTTGTCGATGTCCAATGGTGCGTTGATAATAACGGCGACCATGGAGGCATGTACGCCTACCGTATCTGTCAAGACCAAGACATCGTCGACAAGTTTCTTGACCCAAACTACATCCCCACCGAAGCTGAGAAGCAAGCTGCTGAAGATTGTTTCGAGGAAGGACTTCTTCCCTGCACTGACGTTAATGGCCAGGAGTGTGGTTACAGTCCTGACTGTTCTGCTGATCAGCCATGTCATCGCAACGATTGGTTCACTTGCAAGTCTTTCGATGGCAACTCGGATGGCAAGGGTTGCCGTGGTGTTGACAATGCGCCGATTAACTCGTGCTACACCTCTATTGCTGGTGGCTATACTGTGTCTGGCAAGATCAAGATCCCAGACTATGTCTCGAACCATACCCTTCTGTCATTCAAGTGGAACGCGTTCCAGACCCCCCAGGTTTACTTAACTTGTGCTGATATCGCGATCTCGGCTTGATCGTATTTGCATGTCGGGCATGCGATCTTGGCTGGAATATTCCTCGGACTGGTGATGCACAGAGAGTCTCGTCATACAGCCGAACACAATACTGAAGTGATAGTCAACAGCCTGTACGAGTCAGTGTTATTCTTTAGGCTAGGAATTTCTGATTTGTCTCTGAGACCAACAGTTTTAGCTAGCATGTGAAGACCAAATTATCACTCTTTGATCCCCCCAGACCCAAAACCCATTCACATGACAGTGCATTCATTTCCAACGCTAGGATCCACATGATGAGATTCTCTCTCTCTCGGCTCCGTCTCCAAATCCTCCCAGTAGATAAAATCCATGAATCCAGAACGAGCTTCATTCAAAGTATCGGCAACAATCCGCAAAGACTCCTCATTATCCCCCTTTAGCGCAAGTAACGCCAGTGCAACTCTCTTCTCTAGCTTCCAAGGCCCAGATCCTTCATAAGCCTCAAAGTACACAGGATTTCCAGCTTCTTTCAGACGTTCCTCTATCCGACCAAAGGTGATGAGGAGCCAACAGGTGACGCCGAGATAGTTGAGGCTCGAAATTGGTGCGATTCCCGCTACGTCGGAGAGAATGTCGAATTTCGCTAGGTCGAGAATATCACGGCCGTCAAGGACCTCTGATCCAGCCTTTGGAGGGATCTGAAAGCCTTCTGGCGCGTACTTGGTCAAGACCTCATTAGGCATATTGTTTGCAATGGAAGAGAGTTTGTTTGTTGCGTCAATGATCTCCTCGTCGGTCATTCCAACTGCTCTTGCCTTCCGAACAAGGATAGTGTCCTCGAGTTCTTTTTCGCTGACGTGCTTTGCTCGACTGAGTCGCTCGAAGAACAGCATGCTGCCGAATTGAAGCTCCTCATCAGGAATGGCCTCGAGGTTCCAACCCGCCCGGCGGCAAGTGGTGAGTATGGAGTTCCTCTTGAAAATATGGTTGATCTCCAAGTCGAATAGCTGATGAATGTTCTCGGCATATCTTCGTCTATACCTAGTCGCCTGCCTCTGCGCCTGAGCCTGTCTGGACCCTGGCTGTCCAACACTGGCGAGTAGAGCATCCACAAAGTCCGATGTCGGCTTGCAGCCTTGTGCGAAGAACGTATGCTTGAAGAGATCCTCTAGTGTGGCGCACAGTCCGATGGGTCGAGAGAGGTAACCCTTTTGTACCACGGCATTGTGAAGATGAATCATCAGCGTTGGCTCAGGCAAACGTTCCCAAAGGAACATGCCAAGTCTGTAAGCGATCTCAAGACCTTCTTCAAGGCCAACTCCACAAAGAAACGGCGAATACTCTTGCAGGCCATTCGCATCATGGTCTGCAAAGCGTGACGGCGGTATGGTATCGAGGCCAGTCGTGTACTTGTGCTCCCCAAGAAAGTCGACAAAATCAAGCTGAGCGATCTTGATGATCTCAAAAAAGTCTTTATGCTGCTCCATCTTACCATCCTTCTCCAGAATCTGTTTGAGTAGATCGACTGTCTGACAGTACCCAGCAAACACGCGCTTGTTCTGTCGATCGAGAAAGAGGTCCACGTCTCGTCTGGCATGGCCTTTGTTTGCTGGCGCTTCAAGCATATGACCGTGCAGAGCACTTAAAGTCCAACCGCGGGAGACAGTGAATGAATCGACGATGCACTGCATCTGGAAAACGTGGTGCGGATAAATCATCTTGGTGATGTCGGTGCCGGGCTTCTTCATGGCCATGTTTGTGATGTCGCCTGCGAATTCTTCTATGCCGAAGAGGACTCGGTGGACGCCCCAGGGACCGTTGGCAGACCAGTCCACATCTTCGTAGACATGCTTTTCTCCTCTGACTGTGTTTCTCTGAACCACAACAGAAGAAAACACGTTGACAAGATCATAGAGCCATTTTATGGTATAGGAGCGCCGCCAGTGGACTCGCTCCTCATTCGTAGCCCGCTCCAGATTGAAGTTTGGATCCCACTTGACGAGCTTTGCCTGCATGGCCTTTGTCGGCTTCCCAGTACGATTGGCCTGAAAGTCAAGAACAAAATCCCTCAGATCCTGATACGCGTGGATGAGGAACTGCTCCTTGATATCGACGGCTGTCTCCTTCTGACTGTGCTGTTCACCATCTGGGCCCAGCGCAAAAAGAGCCAGCCTGAAATTTCCCTGTGCTTTCTCCATGTTACCTCGAGTGATGGTGTTCATGATGGTTTTGTAAGTGTCGTGACCTGGAAAGTCGACAAAGATAGCCGCGTTGGTTCGCTTGACCATGGAGATTGTCAAGTTGCTTACAGCTCCTGCGACAGCGCTGTTAAGACCTTCGTATGCGACCTCCTTCCAAAGACTTTGATTGTAAGCGCGGAGGGCGGCCCATTCTTTGACGGTTGAGTAGACAGCGAGTAGATAGTCTGTGACAAGACCGACCTCGCCACTATCCTCGATGATTCGAATGCTCTCAATAGGTATTTCGTCAGTCGCGGGGTCTTGCGTGTCCTGTTTCTTGCCCTTCTTTGGCTTCTTGTACTTTCTGGCCTTTTTGCCTTTGCCCTTTGGCTTTCGTGAGACCTTTCGTGCAGGGCCTGGTGAATGTTGTTGAGCGACATCATCCTCTTCATCGCTCGACTCTCCTTTGTCGACGCTCAGTTCTTGGAATTTATTGGCGAACAGGATCTGTTCAACGTCCTCCGTATCATCGGTCGTCGTAGCGCCCGTCTTTTCCCATTCTTCGCCACCGAGAATCTTGAAGGCACTGCGAAGAGTGTTTATGAAATGTCGGTGACTCTCGTTGCTTCGTATGAGTTCCTCGTCCGAATCAGGCCCCATAAGCTCCTGAAACGTAGTGCTAACGAGAGATCTCGCCTGAATGATGGACTCGAAAAGTCGATAGATGACATTGGGTACAGGTTCCTTGTGCTGAGAAATGAGTGTCGACATGGAAATCAGGCCATTCACTGTGGTTTGACCTGTCGTGTTGACAGAGGCGGCTGATTGAGCCTCTCCATTGGTGGATCTGAGGAGACGATTAGACACGTTGATCATCCAGTACAACAAGTATTTTGTGTCCCTCTTGTAAGAGAGGTAGAGGTTCTGCGACACCATCGTCACGTACGGGACGGCTGCGGATCGCACAGAGTGACAGTATTGCAACAATGGTTGACCATACTGAGGGGACAAAAGAAGGTTTCTGTTTTGTTTTTGGAGACTCAAATCGCGTTGCTGGGGTCACGTGTTGACGTGACACAATTACGCACCGCGCATTCATTGTTTATTTGTTTGTTTATATGCTTGCCAATGGAGATGTGCCAAATAAAGTTTAGATGCCCATCGTCAACAGACAGTGAATAATTATCCGATGCAAGATGTATAGACATGGAGGGGAATCACCCGACTGTCACGCCACCAAATGCAACCCCGCAGCAATGTTTAGAGATGAGTACATATATTTACTGCTATTGCTAACTCATCTTGCTAGGACCATCTAACTTTAAGTGCACTTGCCAAGGAACCAGCTTCCTAGAGCAATATTAGCATCTACGACAGTTTATCTTGTATGTAGGAAGGCCGTAGCCCATAAACGCAACTTACCCTGGTGAGAAACACATTTCAGTCCGTTGTTGCACACTGTTCCGCTATAGTTGACGTTGCACCAGTCTAGCAAAAGTGATTTGTGTTAGTGTCTTCCTATTGTGAAGTTGACAGTAGATGTAAAGATTATACTGACCTCCCTTACGACGCTGGCCCCAGCATACGTATTTGTCGGAGCCTGTATGAGGCATGCAGTATCCACTGAGACATTCGATGTTCAACTGACAGGCAGCGCCATCTCCACTAAGAGCAAAAGCTCCAGCAGCCATGTGGGCAATGAGAAAGAGAGAAGAGGTGAACTGCATGATGCTGACTTATGCAAAAGGGTTATGAGGAAAGATGAAGAGAATCACATTAATGAGGATGTTTTCTTGGGTTTATATAAGAGGATGTTTTCTTGGGTTTATATAAGAGGAAGCTATGGAGAGCCCCTACGCTCTACTCCGTAGACCGACTCGTGTTTGTTCGATTTAAAGTTCACGGCAGTTGATAGAATTTGCCCATTTTCCGCACCGGCCATCTGGGTATACCGGCGGTTTCGTGTACCTAGCGGTAGTGGGTCTTGTTAATCTATCAATACGAGAAGAAAGCCAGAAGGTTTCAAGTGATAGTCAGCGTGTCTATTGACCCACCTGCAAGTAGAATATACTTTAAAGCTAATGCGTAAACAGCAACTTGACGCCGATGGATATTTAAGACCTGTATTGTCTGCGGTGCGGTGAGCAGCTTGGGCAGAGTCAGAATTTGTATCGGCATATTTACATTATGAAGGGCAGTAAGTATTTTCAGACGTATTAGTTATATCAATAGGGACTAACCTCTCTAGCCAATACGTCAATTAAGCTTATATTTACTGCGTTGTATGATGTTACTGTTAATGGCTTATTTCAGTATAATGTAAGAAAGATATTATGACCTGGCTATCTCCTCCTTACTACTCTGTAGCTTCTACCTACCTATATAGAGTATAGCTGTAAATGCTTTCTCCCCACTATAGGCCCCTAACACGAAGTACACTTTTAGCCGAGAAAGTTACTTTTTTACTACTACTATAAAGTAATTAATTTGGGTATCCGATGTAACCGGGCTTGAGTTAAAAGATTCAATTGCTGTTGGCCTTGCTCTGGGACTGTTCTTGCATCCGAAAGACGAAGTCAGAAGTGCAGGTAAAGTTGACTAAAGGCATACTACGATTTAGAATGAAAGCAGGGTTTATTAAATTTTAATAGTAAACAGAAGGTGCGTGTCGCTATCAGCCGTCGGTGAGTTTTGCCAGAATATCGCCTTGATAAGCTTCCTCAAGAGTATAGTCTTCGCCATTATTGCGATCAATTCCAACGTACTCAAACGCCTTTACGACGGCGTCTTTATCATATCCCAGGGTAACAAATTGATCGATCAGATTGCGGTTGTACCCCCCGTAACTAGCACTAATGGTAGTTAGTGGTGCTGTGGTTGAAGAAATAAAAGGCAGAGACGATTGAGAAACAAACCTATCCGTTTCTGTAACTGGGGCTCCTGCGTACTTGACAGCCCACTCTTGTGCCCTTTCTTTGAAGAGAGACGGGATCTCCCGAGACTGCAAGTCTGCTTCTTGATTAAGAGGGTATCGTGAGTCGGGATGCTGAAGTAGCTGGGCTATTGTAGCCAATGTTGCTTTCATAGTATTGGTTGGGTCCCATGAGCCAAGAGCACCTGGTGCAATCTCACCCTAGAATCGTCAGTTCTATCACTTTACAAGAGGCTATCACATGCGCTGCATGGCGTGATATCGTACCGTATCAGGATTCACATTCGGATGATATATCTTTTGGTTAAACTTCATTGACGGCTTTGCAAATGGATATTCATCCGGGACCAATACGCTGATAGTGTAGGTGCCTCCGAAGTAAGGTGTATCTGGTGGAACTGGCAGAGAAGCTTCGAGATGAGTTAAATCACCTGGATTGCATGGCTGCAAATTAACGCCGGTGTCCTGGCAATCCTGAAGTTCTTTTGCAAGTCGTCTTAGACGCGAGCTTATTGCCGCCGACATTTTAATAGTGTTAATTAAAAAAAATATTTAGGAGCACGTTGGTGTAACATAAGAAGGAGTATTAATAGGGACAGTCTTCAAATAGGCAAAAAAGCGACCTAAAAATATCGATAATACCACGTGTTATTAATGTAAACTGGAGAATTAAGTCAACTACATCTAACTCAATTGGCCAACTAAAGCCACAAAATGCAAAGTAAAACACTATTACAGATTCGGATTGCTAGAATAGTCTAGACCTGTAGCCGCTGCTGTTGTGCGGGCTTAGGCTGAGACTATTAGGACAAGTTAGCCTATTTAGGGCGCTCGTGCTCCTGCTGGCAATTAGAGAATCTTTGATCCTATATTTTAATAATTACAGGCATATCTATAGGTACCAATACTACCTTGAATAAGTCCACACGATAACGATGAGTTAATCTTGGAACAAGTCTAATAACGTTCGGGGGGTTATAACTGCTGTGTACAATATATGAAAACCCCTGCTGTCCTTCAAGCCGAGTAGATGAGAGCATGACCTGCTATAACTATATAGCCAGCTTACCCTCGAATGTCTATCATGCTGGCCAGAGGTTACGTGGCTTATAATATAGTTACTGCCCCTGCTGATTTTGTATTCGCCAATGGTCCCTGTGGTTCTATGGCTAATCTTGGCCTTTAGTAGATAGGAAAATCTCGTCAGGGAGGCTGATGGTTGTTTCACTAGTACGCGAGAAGGCGTGCGGGCTAGAAGATGCTTGGTTAGGTTATAGGAATAAGACGAGTTGGATGATACTAACCAACTCATGACATATCCAGTATAACCGAGTAGCACGCCAAGCAGTACTTCGTTGACCTATCCAGCCTTGCCAATGCAGCTTTCCAATGTCCATGGCCTCTTCCCAGTCTTCAATGCCTCCAGCTCATCCTTAAAATCCTGTTTCCAGGCATCTTCCAAACGACTAGGATTCCAACCAACCAGTCGTTTCAACTCAGTACCTTTCATCGACTTTGTACCCGCCCATCCGCGTTCTGCCATATCAACAAGGCCAGCTGTGATTTCATCTGCCAGCTCTTGTAAAGTAACTTCCCGAATCTCCTTTGTCGGAGGCGTATCTTTACGAGGTAAGATTCCTTCATCGAACGCGGCATCCAGACACCTTTGCATGATCTCAGTCTGAAAAGCCCTCCCGACAGCTGGAAAAAGAATGCCATTCTTCCCACTTGGAACATGGCCCACTCCACGATCTTCCCGCTCCAGAATAGTTCGAGTCAGAAGCACAAAGGCGTCAGCAAGATCCTCAACATGAACCCAGTCCCAGTTCGCAGTCTCGTTCAACTTGAACCCATGTCCGTGCTGAATAACATAGCGCATTATAATTGGTATAATGATGCCCTGTTGGTTGAAAAGTCCTTGACCAGCGCCAAAGATTACTGGCGTATTGAGGCTGACAGCTTGCACACCAGTCTCTTCAGCTGTAGTCAAGACACGAACCTCGGTGGTTCTCTGAGGATAAGGCTCCCGCGCGTCTTCCGACTTCAAAAACTCGTAAACAGAATTTCCATCCCTATCATTCCATTCTCTATCTGGATGCGCTTCTTGAGTAAGTGGTCGATCAGCTAAATTGCTACAGCCTGAAATGTGCAATAGCCAAGGCGGGGGAACACCTGGCTCAACGCGACGAGCGAGACCCCGCACAAAAGCTTCGGCTCCCTCTGGAATAAAACCTGAGCCAGTGTTGATAATCAGCTCATAATGTGAGGCGATGTCTCTGATATAGTCGACGTCATGGAGACCAGCCCATTGGATGGGATTCACGCGGTCGCCGTAGGCTGAGCGAAGTTTGGCGGCAGCGTCATCACTTCGGATGAGAAGGTCGATAGTGAGGCCTTTTAGAACCTCATCTTGGGCTTTCACGAGGTGGTCGAGAATAGTACCACCGACATAGCCTGTTGCACCGGTAAGAAGGATTCTTTTGACAGGAAGGCGAGACATGATGTTTCATATGATTCCAATGAGGTCGCAGCAGTCCAGGAAAAATGAAGCCGATTTGATGTCATCGTCAAGTCACCGCTCCAGTAGCTAAATATCCAAGTTGAATCAGATCCACATGCTGAACGTCATCTGTCCAATAGCCTGGTAGCGAGGACTGGCTTTCAATCTCGGTTGGCTGCTGCTTGCAGGGATGATCTCATGCAATGTGATATGTGATTGAATGACGGGCCATAAATGCAAACCGAAAGCCCGGGTAGAAAAACCCCGCAAACGTTGCAATTTTTCTCATCTTTACCGTAACCATGGCAGATGACACAAGTCCGAGCCCGAACCAGGGCCCTATAGCTGAAACTCAGTCTCCACCAAGAGAAGATCCCCTGGAAGTTGACGTATATTTCCCATGGGTTACTTCTGTTGAGGACCGTGCTAACTAAGTCTAGGAAGAGGAAACTCAAGATAATGATTCCACGTACAATCTCTCGTGAGTTATCAACACAAATGACTTTCGCTCCGACTAACATCATTTCGCAAAGGGAGGGATCAGTCAGTCAGACGTCGTCAATCAACTCCAGCATTCTCAACTACAGATACATGGTAGTGTTCACCTAGTGACCCGACCATGTGATTTACTAATAGACGACTAAGAACGGCCGCCGGTACCATGCGTTTCGTGAAGGTGCATACTTCGTGGTACGCAGAACTTTGACGACTGAGTATCATTGAGATTGAAATGCTGATGTAACTTCTCCCAGCCTAACGATGAAGAAGAGCAAACGCGGATGGACTTGGTGCATCACATTTACTCTCTGATGCTAGATGGTGCTTTATTCTTGGCGCCTATTGGTGACCATCCTCAGCGTGTTCTAGATCTGGGAACTGGCACTGGTATCTGGGCGATGGACTTCGCAGAGTGAGTCAATTATTACATGACAGAAAGTCTTTCGCAAGTGTTATTCTTGCTAACTCTGCTTTTTAGTGACTTTCCCTCGGCTGATGTTCTCGGGACTGACCTTAGCCCTATCCAACCGCAGTGGTAGGGCGACTATCCTTGTGTCTATGGTCAGAAGCTGACTAACTAAACCGTAGGACTCCACCAAACTGTCGCTTTGAAGTAGACGATTTCGAGGCTGAATGGCTTTATCACACGCCCTTTGACTTCATCCACGCACGGGAGCTGGAAGGCTGTATTAGTGATGACAACCGATTCTTCCAGCAAGCCTTACAACACCTAGCTCCTGGCGGTTATATTGAAATGCAGGCAGTTGCGGCACCGTTTCTATCAGATGATGGTACGGACGAGAAGGCCGTCAATGCCCAGCTTTGGTTGAAGACCCTGTGTGAGGGATCTGCCAAGTTCGGCAAACCAATTGATTGTGCTCCTTTGTGGAAGGATAAGTTAATAGCTGCTGGCTTTGAGAACGTACGGGAAGAGATACGCAAGGTATGCGCGAGACCCAACCACCATTCAACCAATATCTAACATTCCATTGGATGCCACTCGGGTCATGGCCTAAAGACCCGAAGCTCAAGGAGATTGGCAAATATCAGTCCATTCAAGAAGCTAAAGCCATTGAATCATACACACCGCAGATCTTCTCGGCCGTGCTTGGATGGTCACAGGAAGAAATACAGGTTTTCATGGCCAAGGTTAAGAATGAGATCAAGGATCCTTCGATTCACCTTTATCTCCCTGTTCATTTCCTTTGGGGAAGAAAGCCTGCGTCTTGATACTTACGTTTGCGAAGTGAGGTCAGGCTGTATTGGAGATTGAGGCTTAACCTCTATCATGTAATATTTTAATATCTGATAGAGATGATATTTATGCTTCGTTGGATGATGTAGTATTCAATCGCAAGTAAATCTGAAGTCTCTCTTAACTCCCTATAAAATATACGATACCACTTGGATATCCAATTCACAGTAGGATAAATCCATTGCATATCTTTCCTAAAAGTATCTCACTGGCACAGTTTCAGAGAGTTTATAATCGGGACGTCTCCGCCACTGCAGCAGCATGGGATTAGACTGGACACTTGTTATGTTGCTTGAAAGCTGAATCGGCGAGCGGATAATCTCAAATCCCGTGAACAATTCAACGGTCACACGTACGGAAACTAGCCAATTCAACCACCCGATAACGATGAATTACTCTCGGAATGAGCGCCAATAAGATGAGCTCGCTACGCGCTCACCGGGACACCAGACAATGCCGATCCTCGAATTGAGCCAGTGTAAACCCGTCGCTCAGAGGCTAGAGCAGACTCCTGCAGAAAGTGGCTGTTACAGACCCTGGGAATTGAACGAGAGCTGAAAACATCCCTGCTCCACACTAACCTATCTGGAAGAATACACTACTGCGCCTCGATAGGCAATCACAGCGGTTGTCAGTTCACTGATGAGGGCTGTCAAGGCAGACGGGAGATGGTCTGATTGGGATGAGCATGCGCCGAGGCTTGAGTTACCTGACTAAATGTTAGCTCCCGCCCTCCACAGTCTTGACTTTCCTCCACCATTTTATCTTGAGTATAACTTGGGAAACGTATGGAATCGCGATGAGCGCCATTTTTGGGACCCAAGCCCGCGACGAAGCAAAACAGCTTATAGAGAAGATCGCTGTCGGTCATGGCTACATCGAGGCAGCAAAGCTGGATGCCATGCCACCCGATATACGACGAGTGGTGGAGGAAGCTCTGAAGAGCAATTCCAAGTCTCATGCCGCCGCTACAGAGTAAGCCGTCACCTTGAAAGATAATCTCCGCATCTAATCTCCCTCTAGTCTTGTACAGAAGTTAGCTGCGGGGAACATCAATGTTGCGTTCGAGCTGCTCCAGAATGCGGACGACAATCAATACACCCGCGCAAAGGCCGCATGCGCGAGTCCAGGCGTTCAGTTCATCGTGACTCCAGATATGGTCATTATTGGTAGTAATGAAGACGGCTTCACGGAGAGCAACGTCAAAGCTCTTTGCGATTTCGGAAAGTCTACCAAGGATGGCAAGGCAGGCTACATCGGACAGCCAGATGTAGGTTTCAAGTCGGTATTCACTATCGCTTCCAAGGTTCAAGTAGAATCTGGGCCTTTCTCATTCTACCTTCAGCACGACGACGGAGATTCTGGTATTGGAATGGTGAGACCCCACTGGACCGAACCGCCTGCTCTTCCCGGCCATGTGAAGGATCATGAAGCATATGGCGGTCTCTTCGGAAACCGGACGAGGATCATCTTGTTTCTTAAGGAGCAGAACAGAGAAAATCTCCGGAGTAGCTTCATTAGTCAGATCTGGGATACACCGGATAGTGTGCTACTCTTCATGAAGAATCTGCGGTCACTGAAGATTACGGTACTAGGTGACGACAACAAAGTTCAGCGATCGAAGGACGTGCTTCTCGATAGAGACTTATTCGGTTCTGGGACTCGAATTGCAGCGACGAAGAAACTCGGTCCAACTAAATTCAAGACATGGAACCGCTATCTCGTCTACAAGTCAACGACAACAGGTTTACCTGCCAACCCTAACCGAAGATCAGCTCCAGATTCCCCAGCAAATACTTCCAATGCAGAAGTTATACTAGCGTTTCCTGTTGATGAGAAAGGCGAGCCAATTGTCGAAATTCAAAAAGCATTTGCCTTTATGCCACTCTCCGAGACTGGGTTGAGCGTTAGTATATTCGTCCATACGGCTTAGAAATCTAGCTAATCAGAGTGCCTAGTTTCTTATTCACTCCGACTTCGTTACTGATGTTGCAAGACAAAAGCTTGTTACTTTCTCAGACAGAAACCTCCAAATTAAGACGGCAGTTGGGAAAGCAGTCGTAACGTCAGCCCAAGACATCTGTAAGAAGCCTGGCACAGAACACAAATGGATGCGTTTCCTTCCCCAGTTGAATCGAAACGGCATCGATCCATTCTGGCTCGGATTCGGTAATGACTTACGATCGAAAATCTCCGACATACCACTTTTGCGTTCAAACCAGTTATTTGGCGGTTTCTCAAAGATAGCCGATCTCAAGCGTCTTTCTGCGGATCAATTGGACCAACATGGCGCGCCGCTTTTGCCTGATCTACAACAAGAGTTGTACTTGTCTTCGCGTTACGAGCCCCAGGACCTCGATATTCTCAGTCAATATGGACTAACGTACATGTCGAACTCGGAAGTCATATTAAGGTTGCAAGCTTTCACCGGGCGTGCTGAGTGGAAAGTGAGAGCCTTTGAGGAGCGAGACGAAGATTGGCATGCTAGACTAGCGCGTCTCATCCTGAAGCTCTGGAACGACACACAATCCAATTGGAAGAATGCCATTCGCGGCTTGAAACTCATTCCACTTGCTTCAGGAGACTTGAAGAGTGTCACCAAGGAAGGAAAGAGCGAAGAATTCTATGACAACATGATCGAGGGCATCCTTATCCCTGAAGATCTGGGTTTCCCAATACTGCTACCAGCAGCCGCAGCGAATCCGGACTGTCGGAAGCTTTATGAGCTCTTTGGACCAAAGACTCTTACTGCTCAACAAGTCCGTGAGAAGATAATTAACATGTATAGAGATCCCGCTCAAGTGGCTAAGCTTGACGTGGCTAAGTCCAGAAACCATCTTGTCTTTCTCTACCGAATGGAGCCGAAGGACTTCATCAATAAGGAGGAGCAAGAAATCATGGTTGTCTTTGATCAAAAGCTACGCATCAAGCGCCCAAAGAAGGAATATGTCTATCTCCCCGGCGAAGGGCCAGTGGCCCCATGGAAAATTCTCAATCCCCCATTCCCAGATGGGCTTGAGCCACCAGATGTATCCCTCCTGCACCCGGCCTATCTTGAAGATCCACCGACCCCATCGGATGGCAATGAGAAACCATGGATCCAATGGCTCTATCATATTATCTACTGCGAAGAAAAGATCCAACTATTCTCCATACGAGATCCGCCTGCAGAAGCCGACAAGACTTACTCACCAGAGTATAAATTCCTCGTCAAAGCCTACCCAGGACTTACGCTTCATAGACTCATGTTGAACTTTCAGAAGCCTGAGGTCAAAAAGCAGTGGGTTGATGATAAGAAGGGAACCGCTCTTATGCGAAGAATGGAGTTTCTCTGCACCGATGGTGTGCGACATCCTTTGGAGGAGACTCTGCTTCCGCTACCAAAACTGCTAGAGAGCTGCAAGAAAAGCTTTGCATCAGTGGATAGCATGCCGTTTCTTAAACTTGACGAGCCTGTGAAAGAAGATGATGTTCCTGCATGGCTCGACTTAGCAAAGCATTGTGGTATTGGGACTGAGGACGACACCAAGTTCACTCTGGCGATCCTGGGCTCCATTTCTAAAGCTACTACAGAAGTAACAAGTGAGGTTTCACAAGCCGTTACTGACTTGTATCTCAAACTTCATTCCCAGGTTCCAGATGGCTCTTTGAGTGCTACCTTCGCGGTTCAAACACAGATTAGGTAAGTTACGGTTCCTAGCCTTGCTAATAAAGCGTACTAACCATAGCAGAAACTTTTTCAGCACCAACAAGTGTATTCTCTGTTCACCACTCAGCCAAGCAGATGAGAAGGGATCTACTCGCGGGCAACACTGGGTGAACAAGTCCGCATGCCTGTGGTCTGCGCCTGAGGGCATTAATGTCTACAATCCTCTGCGATCTCTGTGGTCCCCAGTGATGGCCACGATGGAGCCTACAGATCGCAAAAACCTGGAAGATTTCTTTAGCCAGACTCTTTCCATTCGCGACATAACCGAGCATGACGCACTCAGTGAGCTGCGTCATTTATGTCGTTCACCGGACCAGACGAAAGACTACTCAGTGGTAACCAAGGAACTTTACAAGATCATTCAGGCACAGACGGAGAACCTCAACGAGATCAACACGCTTATCATCAAGTAAGAACCATGACTCCCAACCCGTCCTTTTCCCACCAGAGATGTTACTGACGAAGTTGCAGACAAGCATTTCGAGATTCTCCCCTCATTTATCTACCTGGCCAAGAGACCAAGAAGTGGTATAAAGTCCCAGAATGTGTCTTTTATAGTGAATGCCCGAGCGGAGACGAGATCAGTCTGGAGTATGTCTATCCAGATATGTCATCCCTTTTCGTATCATTCCTCGAGGTTCCCAAGTTGAGTGCTTCCCTCGTGTATCAGAACCTTCTGGATGTCGGAAACACCGTCCAGCCTATTCCAGACCTCAAGAAGCTTCTTTGGTCTCTCCTTGATACCCTGGCTGCAGACAAAGGATCATCGAGTGTCTATGCAGATAAGATACGAGATTGCCGCGTCTTTCCGGTCAAGCTGCCGTCAGGAGAAGTTCAGCCTATGAATGTACTGGGAGACTTCTGTATAAATGACAGACCTATGTACGCAGCCGCCCTGAAGGAACATACCAACCTTCTCGACTTTTCTGTTGAGGAGGTCTATCGTCTCAGGCCAGTCATTGAGTGGTTGCGCTTAACTGAAAGATACCTCTCAAAGGTCGTAACAGAAAAGACGTCGGTTGATGAATCTCAAGGCACTGAGGATAAGGTTCTGGCCCATGATATCGCCAGCAAAGCTGCCGCACTTGCCATGTTCGTCACACAACTTCTCAGTTAGCCAGTTTGCAAGCTAACAAACCGCCAAATAGGATCTCTTCACACTTCGGCGATGGCAAGCCCACCGTAAGAAACTACAACCTTCAAGATACGATACGTAAGGTAGAGGTCTTTCGACACCCGGACATAAAGACCAGCATTACTTTGTATCATGGCTTCAAGACGATCAAAGTACCGCTTGCGAAAAGTGGAATGCACTTTAAATCGGCCCTATTCGCCAAATGGCGGTTTTACATTCCACAAGATGACGACGATCGGAATTTCTGCATGGCAACTGAATTTCCGCGGATGTTAGCTGCTCAACTTTTAGATTGTCCTTTACATGCTGTTAATCCTCAAGCGGTGATAATCACTGCTAGTGTCCTTCGAGCTAAGACTTCTAATGCTAGACGTGTCCTTCAACATTATGGGATATCTGAGGCAGGTGTGTTGCAAGACGATATACCGGAACCACCACGGACACCAGAGAGGCGAAGAGACAATGGTGCCCCCTCTCCTTCTCCATCACCGCATTCAGTTATCAGATCTCCTGTCCCTGCTGTAAGCGCTGATCAGGTGATCCGTGACGCCGCTACTCCATACCAGGCCTTGCTCATTCAAGCTGTCAATGTCGCACGCATTTCGACCTTTCCGCACAAGAACTCTGTCTTTGATATGACTGCAATATCACAAAGCCTTGCAGAGAGTACAGCTCGTTCTGGACTATTCAGATTCTATGTCGGAGACCAGACAGAGTGGCAGCGAATGGTTGGTGCCGCTGGCGAGTTATATGTAAGTGGGCTTCTGTCATACAATCGAGCTTTGTGGCTAAGAAAATAATTGCAGGTCTTTGAGCTGCTTTCAACGATTCCCCATGCTCTTCCGAGATGGTCTCGAGATAATTGGCAAAGTACTGTCAGACACCATGCCAGTATACACCCTGACTATAACTCCCTTGGTAGTTGGTACGGGACAGAGCAAGGGGACCTGTTCTTTTATGACGTGGCAGGAACATTTACCAGCTATTTGATCGAAAAAGGTTACCTCGACGAGAGTTGGACAAAAGAGCGACCAGAGTACTACATCGAAGTCAAGACTACAACATCGGCACGTCTCGACACGCCATTCTACATGAGTAAACATCAATATGCACGGGTAATATCTTCAATCCCTTGTATGCAAAAACTGTCTACTAACAACCTTGCAGATGCAGTCGTTTGGTAAAAGCGTCAATACTGACACGCAAAGGCGGAAGGTCTACATACTGTTTCGGGTACACGGCTTAGAATCAGGCCAAGTTGGGTTGAGGATATTCCTCGATCTGGAGGCTTTACGCAAAAGTGGAGATCTAGTATTTGAGGCTCAGAGTTGGACGGTTACACCAAGAGCAGGATAGTAGTATATATATGTAGTGGATCTATCAGATCAGTATTTCTAGGGCATCTTATTCTTTCCGACTCTCTTGGGCAATTGTGTTGGGTAGCTGGTATACTGCCCGGATTGACTTTGATAACAGTGTTATTTTGAGCTGATAGACCCCGCAGCTGATGGCTTACGTCGCGCGCCTCACACGTTATTCTTTCAATTCAATCTGCCTTCCTCCCTTTTACCCCGTTCAAAACTACCGCTGGCTTACTTTGACGTGCGGATTCTTCATCAGCTCCCTCAGGTGTGCTCTTCAACCAAAGAACCCAGCAGATCATCAAAATGGCGGTTAGAGGGATAACGATTGCAAAATAAATCCTCACTTGCTGGTTCGTTGTTTTGAATTCGAACATATTAGTAGAAAAGACGGTGGCGATGAAAGCTCCTGGGAGAAAAAGAATCGTCAAGATGGACAAAGTCTTCATAGCCTTGGAGTCTCGCAGTGACTCACTAGCCAGCCTGGCTTGGAGATAGCTGTCATGCTGCGTGATCAAGTTGAATAGCTGTAGTGGCTCTTATCAGTTGCCGGGAACGGGTAAAACAAGCGAATGCGACACTTACGACATTGCGTTGACTCTCAATCTTTCCAGGCAGACTCTCGAGATCTGATTCCCGACTCCGAGACATTCTCAAGTATACCTCCGCAAGGGTCTTGAGTTGATTGTCGTTCTTTAATTCCTTCTTTAAGAAATTGCCTAGCTCTTCCTCAAACTTCTTTCGCCTGTTAAGTTCAGCAAGATCCATGCTACACTTATGCAGAGTCATGCTCATCTCCCGATACTGTTTACTAGCATCACCCAGCTTGCCCTTTTCTTCCAAGTGCTCAAGGAGCATCTTATCTACATTTCCAATTTCCTTCTGGATAAGGTCGATTCCGTCCTTTGTAGCCCCATAGTGGGACACGAATAGCTGTAAAGGTAACAGGGTTGGATGATGGCCAAGTCTTTGGACAAGCCTATGGGTGCCGCTGAAAATATCCTCCAGCTTCAAATCAGCATCGACTTGAATGAGGCCAGATATCTTGATGAACCCCTCCGACACATTGTTGTCGACCACAGTGTGGAGAAGCAAGGACCAGAAGCCTGTACTGTAGAATGGTGTTTGAATGATATATACTGACCGTGTTGAATTAGCTACGCTTTGGGGCTTGTTTATCAGCCTAACTTACCTTTAGAAGATTTTTTGTCATTTGTATGTACTTCGCAGCCTCCACGGTCATGCTGCCGAGTGACTCGAGCGGCAATTGGGAGTTTGAAGAAATCAGATAGAAGTTCGAAAGACGGCTGGTTGAGAAGACCTTTCAATTTGTCGAAAGTCGTAAGCTTACTCACACTGGACTGTATTGCACTGAGTGGTCGTATTAGTACCGTTTTCTGAGCCCCGAGACTATAATACTTACACCAAATTGGAGAAATGAGTGTTGCAAGAGTCTTGCTGGACTTGCTGTGCCTCTGGGTTCCCTTGAAAATCGGATTTTGGCTCACCAGCGTTCTAGAGCGCGTCAGCAATGGAAATCTCACGTATTATTAGTAAGTTTCTCACAGTGGTCTCTGAGATCCAGGGGAAGTACTTGTTCAGGTCCTCCCGGCGTAGTGGCATATTTAATTCATGCGAACCGACTTTGGGGGATTTATCGCTCCAGAGATCAATGACCGACGCTTTGACCTCGTACTCCACAGGCTTGCCCTCTGCTGGGTTTCCCTCGGAGAGCAGGTCCTTGATAGTCTGGTCCATAGGTTCGCGTTCCAGAATGTCAGGATAAAGGTTCATACTTCCTAACCTGTAGAGCCGTGAGATCTCGATTGATCCGAGATCATCCAAGTTCTGGCCTGCTAGGTCGTTGGGTACCAGAGGGGATGCACCAGGATCGAAGATCACAAGGTCATCTTTCTCCAGCAGGCCATCTTGTAAATTTCGGAATGAAAGCCCGGAAACATCAGTCTCCACCTTGATCTTGGCTTCGAAAGTTTTGTCGGTTGTTCGCTCAAGTAAAATGGCTGTTTGCAGATACGACGGAACACCTTCTTTCATTATCGGGTCTTCCTTAATAGTCCAGTTCGCGACGTTCGGTGGTAGGTTCGGTAAGTTTTGTAGGGGTATGGCATTTCCACTCCAGGATTTTGAGCCAGTGAGCAAAACATTTGATTTTTTCTCCTTCACAACAGTTGTTCCTCCACTCGCGCCGGATCCATTGCCTAGATCAATAGTAAGACCTTTTTCAGTCATCCCTTTCATAACAGTATGATTGAACTTCGAAAATGAGAACTTCAGTATAGAAAGAAGTGAGACGTACTGGGGACTAACTTACAGCCTTGACCTCGTCGTCAGGTGCCATTGCGGCGACAGCGGGATAGGTATCATCCCCGTAGAATTCCATAGTAATCTTTGCTTTTTTTATCCTGACATTGTTCTTCGAACTTTGAAAGCGGAACGACAAGACTAATAGCGTCGTTGGCTTCTTCGTTTCGCCAGTGTGTCCATGCATGGCGCCGATAAGCTGCGCTTTGATTGCGTAAGAAGACGAGATTCTTTCTACAAGATTCCAACGCTGGAAGGGATCCTGCGGATAATTTCTGACCATAGTGCTAGCACGGAAGAAGCGTGGTAAGTTATTCGGCCAGCCAGTTTCAAGAGCCTGATGGTTGTAAAAGGAAGTGGAGGAATTGGATTGAGGGGGTTATGTTTGCTGACAAGATGGCCTCAATTATCACTCCACTCACGGATGCTCCTATTTCCGAGCCAATGCTCTGCCATGTTCATGCAGCCACAGACAGGGGTAGTTTCAGCTCTTCAGGATCTCACTACTCAGATCAAATTTACGCAGCATAGAATTCATGAATTTCCCAGGAAGAATTTTATTCAAGTCTAGTTAATCGACATTTGTCCAGATAAGTCATCAACGCCTATATCTAAGAATTGGTAGGCATGCTCGTCAACTTCTCCCCCGTGCTCGCCTCATCCGCCCTCCAAAGCGAAGTGACAGTCTTCCACTGCGTATAAAACCTCAATCCATCCTTTCCGTAAAAGTTGGCAAGACCAGTTCCAGCCACACTGCGCTTGTTTCCTGTGAAAGAAAACATAGGCAGAGGAACGGGGATCGGCACGTTAATGCCAACCTGTCCAGCGTCGATTTCTTGTTGGAAGAGAGATGCCTTGGCTCCAGAGTTTGTAAAAATGACGGCGCCGTTACCCCAGGCGTTGGAGTTGATGAGATCGATGCCGTCTTTGAGGGTTTCTGCTTCCATGCAGAGGAGGACGGGGCCGAAGATTTCTTCCTTGTAGCATTCCATGTCGGGGCGGACGCCGGAGATGACTGTAGGACCGACCTGTATCATATTAGCGTCTTGGTTGTATGTGGAATGCCGCTGACTTACCCAGTTACCGTCAGGGAAACCGTCAGGCTTATATCCTCGACCGTCAAGCAGAATCTTAGCGCCCTCCTTCTCGGCGCTTGTGATGAGAGCATTACAGCGATCGCGACTCTGAGGAGTGATCAAGGGTCCGAAATCCGACTTTGAGTCGAAGCCGCTACCAGCGATATGGTTCTTCGCCTTTGCGACGAGATCAGGCAACCATTGCTTCGCATCTCCAAGAGTAACCAAAACACTCAATGCCATGCATCGCTGTCCAGCAGCACCGAAAGCAGCTCCAGCAATCGAATCAAGGGCGTGATCTTTGTTGGCGTCTGGACTCAAAAGAGCATGGTTCTTTGCTCCAAGGTTCGCTTGCACGCGTTTGCCATTTGCTGAGCCTCGTTGGTAGATATACTCTCCAGCCTTGTTGGATCCCACGAAGGAAATAGCTTGAATCTCGGGTTCGTCAAGGAGGAAGTTGACTGTATCCTTTGATCCATGCACAACGTTGACGACACCTGGTGGAAAGCCCGCCTCTCTGCAGAGCTCGGCAATCATCATAGCAGCGCCCGGATCCCGTTCAGATGGTTTGACGATTATGCAGTTTCCTGTGACGGTCGCTACGGGAAGAGACCACAACGGAATCATAGCTGGGAAGTTGAACGGACAGATGGCTGCTACAACGCCCAATGGGTTTCGGTAGGAGCGTGTCTCCATGTCCTTGGCAACCTCGAGAACTTCACCACCGAGCTGAGTAGTGATTCCGCAAGCTGTCTCACAGACCTGCAGTCCACGAAGAACATCGCCCTTGGCATCAGCAAAAGTCTTTCCCTGTTCGGTGACAATGCTTGTCGCAAGGTTATCCATATGCTCGCGGATCAAATGCGTAAGCCTAAACATTATTTGCTGACGCTTAATAATGCTCGTCCTCTTCCATCCCGGAAACGCAGCCTTGGCTGACTTGACTGCTTCTTGCAGTTCATCGTTGGTACTCTCAGGAACACGCGTGATGACATTGTTCGTCGCAGGGTCATGAACTTCGATCCATGACGACGTCTTTGAGGAGACGAGCTTGTTGTCGATGAAATTCTGTGTGTCCTTTGGCTTGTCCAACTTTTCGTGGTTGCTGGGATAAATCACAGACTGATAGATTGAAGTCGAAGGCATTTTTTGAGATAGATGTTGTTGGTAGATGGAAGAAACAAAGAAGGGATAGAATGATATGGTGAGGCGGAAACCTTCCCGATATAGGAGCAAAGAGCGGTCGCCTCCGTTCGGGACAGACCGACAATTACCCCGCACTCTACCACGGAGAGTGTCTTGTGACGGCTTATCAGTCAGTGTTGGCGGGGCCGATAACCGTTATCGTCGAGGCCTATCGGAGTGAGTTATCAGAGACATTGATGACCGTGTCACCGTCAGTTCTCGTGGCTCCACGATGGGCTTTATCTAATCTCCGTCTATTCAGGAGACTGAATATCGTGCCGACCATTTGAGGCTCCGATTAAGTTGAGATCGCCGTCTTGACTGTCGATGGCATACTCCCCGCCCATTAACTCTCACTAAACTTCCCACTAACGCTGCCTTAATCAGGAACTCCAGGCACCTGGGGACTTAT